TTACCTCTAGCAAAGAATGCTAATGACATAACCTGGTTAGCAAGTCTCAGTCAGAACCTGCTGTTTCTTTCAGAAAACAAAACCCCAACAACAACAACAAAAATCACGTGCCTCAGTTTCCCTTTTCATAATACACAGGTGATTACACTGTAGAGCAACAATCACCAGTACAAAAAGAGTCACAAATAATGTCTCTCTGATGCTCAGACCATGGTGGCTGTGACAACATTAAAATAACACTTTGGTAACTCTGCTCAATAATGATTGGGTGTAGTTGGTTGGTGACTATTATTTCCCACGTGTTTTCTGGGTGCAGGGACTGGGAGGGTGTTTATCTAACATGTCCTTGAGTTACAGTCATGAGAGGGAGACTCTACATTTCCCCAGGCATTTCATAAGTACGTCTAGTTACAAAAAGAGTTGAAGCCATCATTTATTTTACCAACAGCATAGGCCAAATCTCTTTGTGGTGCCATAAAGCTGAGCAGAATCCGTGTTTGGTACCAGTAGGCAGAGCTCGGTTAATTGGAACAATCCCAATTCACCCCTGTGAAAGAGCTGATTGCTCTGTTGCTATATTCAGAATCTATTAGGACACTTTTGACTTTTACACTTTCTAAAATAAGGCAATAAAGCAATTAGAAATAGATAACAGAGGGAGAGAGCGTTTCACCAAAGAAAGCAAAAGAAAAAAAAGCGTGGCGTAATTAATACAGTGCTGGCAGCAGCGAAAATGAGCTGTAACAAGCGTGCTGTCACCGCGGGTACGGCTGCAGGCTGAGCTGCAAGATGTCAAGTGCTGTAATGGCAGAGAGAGTCCTTTGCCACCCAGCACAATCTGGCCCAAGAATGCACATCTTTGGGACAGAAGGAAATAAAAGCATCCTTTAGAGCTGGGAGGACAGAAATGTTGCCGTCAGTCCTTCACTGTGTGCCAGCCAGAGGATTCATCCAACTGAAAACATGCTTCCACATCAAAAGAGAAAGGGAATTAGTGCAGCCAGAAAGGCATGTGCTTTTTTAAGGAAAAAATCCAAGAATATCCTAAGTGGAAGACTGGGTTAAGAATACAAAGGAGTCTGCTGTACCAGAGAAAGAATGAATGGGCTTAGAGACATGAGAGATTGCCCAGGGAATTGCTTTAGTGTTACTCATTTTTAATTTGGTTGTTATAGTGTCTGGAAGCACCAGGTGGAAATCAAGGCCTCATTGTGCTGGGAATTGTGCACAAACATAATGATTAAATGTTGCCAGCTCTGCAGAGGTTGAAATTCCTCATCTCTGCAGCATCACTAACCAGTGTAATTATTACCGAGTAAGTTTTTCTGCAGTTGCTGTTCTGGAATATCTGTGCCACTTGATTTCTTTCAGAGAAACTACACCTGAGGGGATGAAAAATACATTTGTACCAGGTCTAACCTGGTAACCTTCAACTGGTTAGAGGCAGGATCTGCTCACCACGCTTTCATGCACATTCAGGAATTATTTGCCAATGTCTTGGTTTCCCTTTCATAGAAGGACTGCACTCACGGCTCGCTGTCTCCATCTGACACCCATGATGGGTGCAAGAGTCCTGTTAGACCCTTAGAGCACTAACTGAGGGCTCTACAAGGGCTTCTTAGTGCTCTTTGTAACCATTAGGGATTAGCTGGAGAATCTGTATTCTTTCTTGTGTGTTCTCTGGCTGAAAGGACTGGAGGCAGTGTTTGATTTGCTGGAGATTCCTCATCTATTAGTATTTTTTCTGTTACTTAAATAACTGTGTAAAAACCCAAACGCAATTAAGCAATGAGTTTTAAACAAAACCCACAACTGCCACAGCATAAATAGGAAGCAACACAGCAAACTGTCATTGAAGGGTCTTTGCACAATGACAAAATCCCTTTGGCTTTCTGTGACACTTTGGCTCTCTGCTCAGAGGTCAGAGAGTAGCAGGATACACTGGCTGCTTTTTTTACAGTCACTTTCTGGCCACAAGAGATGCCAAAGCACAGGAAATTCTTCCCTGACCCTAAGAACAAGATCAGGTCAAACCAAGAGGACAGGAGTATGGTCCTGCTGGTCACCCACACCTCCCCATTGGCACTTGCACTGAAATAACTCCATGCAACAAACTCAGTAGCAAAACCAGGACACCGCAGGGTGCTGCCTTTCTCAGGATAAACCTTAAACCTGTCCTTACCTGCATTTTTCAGTGCTTTAGATGTGTAGACTTTTAACTGTTGTGTGTTATCCTGCATTCAGTAATTTTACATGAATTTTAGCAACCTGGAAGGCACTGGGAGAAGGGGCTGGGAGCTGCAATGCTGAAATAGAACATCTACACCAACGAAAGCTGCCCCACAGGGCTGAGCAGACCAGCCCTCTGTCCTTGCTCTCCCACCCCTCAGCACCAGCTCCAGCCTCTCTGCAAAAGTAGGGACTGAAACAATTGCCATGGGCTTTCCCTGCCTTTTTGTACCGCAGAGGGGACCAGCTTATGTTAAAAGCAGACACTTGCCCAGTTTCCTCAACAGCTATTGCTCTGCATGCACCCACCTGAAAGCCACAGGCCCTGGCTTGGAAGAAGAGCTTGTTTTGGTGAAAGAGTTAAAATGGCAAGATCTCATTCTGCTGGTAACAGAAATGGTTGGTGGATGAAAAGCAAAGCAACGGATCCTCAAAGTTTGTGCATTTTAAAAAACAAGCAAGGAGATGAAAATAAACCCTCCTACAATTTTTAAAGCAGTCTTGGGACTTTAGGGATCCCAGCTCCGAGGTTTTGAATAGCAACTACAAGGGTCATTTACAAGTAGCCTTTTTCTTAATTTCCTGTTCTGCCTTTTAATACTTCCTAGGAAAGAATAGGGGCTTTGCATTACAAGCAGCTTGAAAGCTTACACAGGCAGAAACATCCCCCTGCTCTACCTGCAGCCTTGCGCTGGTTATGTTAAGTTATGACTGGAGATTGACCCAGTTTAAGTGAGTGCAAAAGGTTACTTGAACACTCTCATTTCACTGCTTTTTACCTTTGGCAACTGAATTATCCCCATGTCTGTATGGAATAGTCTTCCAGTCCCCTCTGCTGGTTGCAGCTTGCTGGAGAGCTGCACCGTTGCACTAGACAGTGACTGTGCAGTGCTTTGCCTCGCCGAGTGCTGCAGGAGATGCCACCAGCCCCAGGACCTCAGCCAAGAAAGCATAACTCCTCCAGAGACCAAGGAGCTTTCACTCACCCTCATCTCTGCATCTTTAATATAAGCATCTTTGCAACTTTCTTACACAGAACAGCATCACGAGAAAGGGTGAAAAAGTTAGGCAAATGGCTAATCTAAAAAAACCCCAACAAAATAACCCTGCCTGGGAAATGTGAGCCATCCTTCTGAGAGCAAATTATCTCCCCACTGCGAATGTATGTCTTGAAATGTTTGTTGAGTTTATGACCAAAGATCACCTGCAATTTTCCATGGCATGTGCCTCTGTGTCCCCACGAGCCCAGCACAGTGTGGCCAGCCTGCAGGCTGCTAAACCCATGCTCCTCACCGCAGCCAGCAGCGTGGCAGCAACAGGCAGAACAATCCCTGTATCTTCTTTACTGATTTTCTCATGGCTGCTGGGATCCAGTTTTGAAGTGACCAAGGCAAAATTTCCTCCAGAGGGTGTGAAACAACATTCAGAGAGAGATTGTTCAGAGTCTGTGCTGATGCATCCTGGAGAACTGAGCAGGGCCTGCAGCACAGGGCAGGGGCTTCTCGTAGTGATATGATGTCCAACAGCACACAGTAGTGTCCAACTACACAGTAGTGCAAATCTTCTAGCAGAGACGGGAAGCTTTGTTCCTGGGTGCAAAAAGCTGGTTTGTGAGGTTATCGCCAAGGAGGTCAGTTCTGACTGGCGTGGGCAGCAGAAGGCAGAGCTGGCGCAGGGCAGCCGTTCCCGATGGCTGGCACTGTGCCAGCGCTCTCCGCCAGCCAGCCTGTCTGAGGAGGAAACCCAAGTGACAACCCTGATAACAACCCCTGCTCATGGCCAGCGGCCCAGGGGCCCTGCATGGGAAGGCAGAGCCTGCGCTGAGCCCATTGCCACGGCCCCATGCTCCATCCTGATTTGCAGGATTGCTTTGCACGCACAAACCCCCCCAGTGCCAAGAAGCACTGCATACCCTGCGCCCCCGCGCACGTGTGGGCACTGCAAAGGGATGTAGTAGAAAAACTAAAGGTTTATTTTTTTGAATAAAATACATCCTTACAAAATAACCATTTTTTTTTCCCCCCATGCTGAGGGACTGGGCGTGGTTCTTGCCAGCTCTTCTTCCCTCTTTTTCTCCTCAATTTGGAGCTCTCCAAGGGTGCTGCTGGGGCAGGAGAAGCAGCGATGCTCTCCCCAGGGACTTCAGGTGTGGGATCCCTGGCATGGCCCCAGCACACCAGGCAGGGAGCAGCCGGAGCCTTTCAGAAGTGCCCACAACGCCAACAGACCCCAGTGCCCTGCAGCAGGGCTGGTGGAGGGCCCCAAGGGTCCCTTAGTTGAACCCACCCGCAGCGTGTCCCACCAGAGGCAGGGCACCGGGCCAGCCGGACCCTGCCCTGATTGCAGGGTGCCACGTTCCCGTGAGCTGGCATCGGAGACTGTCCTGCTGTCCTTGGGGCTGGTGCAGGCTGGTGACAGGGGATGATGACTGTGTTTTAGGAGAGGAGGAGGAGAAAGAAGGTGCAGGTTTGTTGGTCATTGTGGATTCTGCCAAGAGAGAAAGGTGCACAGTGATTTCTGGTGTCTTGCCCCAGAATGCCTCTCTTCAAGCAATGCTGCCATCAAAGATGCAATGTCAGTCCCGCATCCTGCACCCAGCACAGCCCCGTGCACCTGCCTGCCCTGGGAAATACCAACCCCAGGTTAGACCTTACAGCCCACAGCCTCCATCTCCTCCATGCCTTCCTGGAGCCCTGCTGCCTTCCCAATCATCCCGAGACCCATAACCCTCATCCTGCCAGCTGAAAACCTGGGGAAACAGCACTCACCTCTCACTGCGTGTTGTCCAGCTGCTTTTCCTTCTTATGTGACTTCGACTGGGGGTTACATGAGAGAAAACAATGATTCTTTTACAGACCCGCCCCTTTCTAATGCCCTGGAAAAATGGGGTTGAGCACCAACTTCTAACCCTCAATGTATAAGGATATTTTCAGATGAATTTGAGGGGAGCTGTTTTTGTGCCCTATGAAAGGCCACAAAACATCTCATGGTCATGGAGGTGCTCTGAGAAAGCAGAAAAGGGGATATTTTCCGGTTTGCTAAAGCACTGGTCTACCCCTGCTTCCCTTAAAGCAATGCAAGTGTTACCAGGTATTGGAATATCTGGGGATAAAGGGAGGGAATAAAGCTCTTAACAGTGAGTCACATAGATCTCTGTAATTTTGGAGAGGAGATTCATGGATCCCAGTCGCCAACAGGATTCCCATTAGCTCAGGAAGGCGCCTGGTTGCTCCTCTATATAAATGCTGTTTGTGTTGCAGCATCATTACTCGTGCACACGTCTGTACAAGAGCCTCCGCAGAGGAGGGACTTGCTGTTACTTACAGGCTCCTGTTCCGCGTATTTGAATTTCTTTTGCTTGTAATAGTCCCGTCCTTGGAGAAAATGCAGCAGGAGCAGGTCGCAGAGGACAGAGGCCTTAAATCAAAGTGCAGTTAAGGTTGGGGCTGCCCTGCCAGCTCACCTGTGCCACCTTGTACTTCCAGCTTGTTCCAGTTTGTCCCACAAATTAGGGTCACTTCTGCTTCAACCCACCACATGGCAGCTGCTAAAGAGTGTACAGCCCCCAGACATGCATTTAGGACAGAGGTGAAGTGTGCTGGGTTCAATCCTGGGCAACTTAAGTCAACAGAAATGAAGTGTTTCCACTTCAGGTATATGCAGAGCCCAACACCCCTTCAGGTCGTGCTGTAATGACCATAACCAAATAGGATGCTGGTTTTCTGTCATACCTTAAATACTGCCCGTCACCTCCAAAACCCCCTCAATACCAGCTCTAACTTGAAATTATCAAGATACCAAGACAAGGCCCTACCACAAAAGCCTGCTTGCCCCTCACTCAGCTGGGCAACAGCTCCTGCTAGCAGAATTCACATAAGCCAGTGGTC